CCCGGCAAATTTTAGAGTTTTTAGAGAGAAACTGGAAATCTAAATTTTTAAAAAAGATTTTATTTTTAATCATGTATGTACATGTGTATTTGTGTGGATATATGCCATGCTGGTGCCCTCAGAGACTAGAGGCATTGAATCCCCTGACGTTTGAGGCAGTTGTGAGCCACCTGATGTGGGTGTTGGGAATGGAACTCTGGCCTCTGGAAAAGTAATCCACGCTCTCACTGCTGAATGTCTCTCTAGCCCCTGGAAGTCTAGATTTTAAAGTTTACTATTGTTTTTTTTCTGGAGACAGGGTCTCTTGTGGCCAAAACTCATCTCCAATTTGCTGTGTAGCTGACTGTGGATAACTTTGAACTCTTGGATCCTCCTACATTGAACTAACTTTCTTTCTTTCTTTCTTCCTTCCTTCCTTCCTTCCTTCCTTCCTTCCTTCCTTCCTTCCTTCCTTTCTTTTTGTTTTTTGTTTTTTGAGACAGGGTTTCTCTGTGTAGCTTTACACCTTTCCTGGAACTTGCTTTGTAGACCAGGCTGGCCTTGAACTCACAGAGATCTGCTTGCCTCTGCTTCCCAAGTGCTGGGATTAAAGGGGTGCACCACCGCCCAGCAAGCCCTGCTCCCTGTTTACAGTTTTAAGCCACATGTTTTTAGCATCTCATGGTGTCAACAGAGCCAGAGGGAGTCCAGTGGCTTAAGGGGCCCCTCTGTTTCCTTTTCTCCCGTGAGGCTGCGGTGAGGGGTCACCCAGGGCTGGAACTACTTCTGAAAGCTCTGTGGAGGCCAGGCATCCACTTCTAAGCTCCCTTGTGGGGATGCTGATAAGTCTTACCACAGGGCATCCATGCAGAACCTGCTCATGCAGGATGAGCAGTCCAAGAGGCAGTGAGAATGTGCGCCTGAACTAGAAAGTCCTTTCTCACATGTACATGCATATGCCAAGGGCAACCAAGTGGAGGTCAGAGGGAGTTGGTTCTCACCACTCACCATATGGATCCTGGGAACGGAACTCAGGAATTCAATCTCAGCAGCAAATGCTTTTACTTACTGAGTCAGTTTGCTGGCTCATTGGAGACCATTTTCAGTGTCCTCTACGCCCACCAGTTTTGGTAATGAACTGTTAGGTGTGATTTGATCATCTTAGAAAGCTGAGATCCTTTGGGGCTGGAGAGATGGCTCAGAGGTTAAGAGCACCAACTGTTCTTCCAGAGGTCCTGAGTTCAATTCCCAGCAACCACATGGTGGCTTACAACCATCTGTAATGAGATCTGGC